ATTGTATCACAAGTAGTGGCTGACAATTCGCGCCCAAAAAAGTTGCTAGGTTTTCGCGGTAAGAGAAATGAACAAAAACGAAGTGCACACCAACAACGATACATTTTTGTTTCTGAGGGTAAGATCATCATCAAATGACTTCTCCCGCCCAGCTTCGGGCGGAAGGGACAGACTCTTACTGACTAAACCCCCCCCCCCCCCCCCCCCCGTTCCTTCTCCTGCTCTGGGTCAAGGCTGCGGTGCCTCATTCGCTTACTCCGCAACCCCGACCAACGCTACATAATGCAGTGCGAAAGTAAGTTTAGAATGGTCGGGACGTGGAGGTAGCACCGTGGGGCCTGCTGACACGGCCGCTGGACTCACCGACACACCGGCCGACTCCTCTCTCTTTTTCCCTCTTTTATTAACGTAACGCTACACTTATGCTGTCAGCATCGCATTGCTCAGCAGTCGGTTGTGGGCCACTTCCTCAATTCGTGCAGTGGGACTCACATTCCCACCCACTACTTCTACCCATTCTTTGCTTTGACAATGTATCCTTCATTGATTTGAAAATAATGACTTCCTTGCGTGGACTGACTGTGAAAGCTCCGCTATTACATATAGTTGCAAGCCGCAACGGTGAGCAGTGTGGCGGCCTCGCGCAGCCAACTGAAACTTTAACGTTGTGCTTGAGACTTCTCCAATACGAGCATACAGAGTGTTTTGAAGTTCATAAATGACAAAATAATGCGGTTTCTACCTGTTAATAAATTGCTATCAGCTGGCCAAGCTGCTGGATAAGGGGCTCCGAGGTGAGGCAGTTACTTTACCAAATGTTTTACACAACAAAATAAATCGAATACTCACTTTACAAACGATTGAAATACCTGAAATGAATAAATTAAATAAACCTTAGCTTCGTTATTAGTGTGTCGTGTGAGCGACATCGGTACCCGACAATGTCGCAGTGAGCAGAGCTTGTCTCGCGGCTTAACCCGGGATTAGCACCTCGGGAGTAATCCGGCGCATGCGCCACTAGACATGTCGTCACATCTGCCCGGAGAGGCCGGTAATCCGAAAGGATTACCAGTAACAGTCGGTCGCGCCCTCGCCCTGCCTCGGCACGCCCAGCTGCTCGTTAAACAAACACGACACTTGACGACTGTTTACGTTGCTGTTCGAACTCGGATTAGTGCCCATAATCCCAGCAATTATACTTACACATCGACTGCCTCGCCAACACTTAGCTGGAGGCAGGTTATTATGGTGTCCATAGGTAGGGAGTTAAACCGCTCCTTGCTGCTATTGTAGGACACGTTTTCTCTCTCACAGTCACGTCCATAGTGGTCCATGAGACACTACCTGCTCACTCACTGAGTTCATCTTGGAACTGCAATCCCGACCCGACAAGTGCTTAAAATAAGCTTACTCCGTTAATTTGTTTTGTGTTTTTGTGGTATTTTTAACCGACTTCAAAAAAGGTGGAGGTTCTCAATTCCATGCGTATTTTTTTATATATATGTACACCGATTACTCGAAGACGCCTGGACCGATTTGTAAATCTTGGAAGTCGGTGCCAAGTAAATGCTACATCAACTATACCTAATCATCAAACGAATAAAAGTTATATAGGTAATACATATCTTTACAGTATTATTGTTTTATTTGGCACCGAATTCAAGATTATATAAATAGTTATAAATATTATTTTCTATTTAACTAAATGAAAATACGTATTTCTTTGTAGAAAGCAAATTTATTTTTTATTTGTAGTTTAATTTTTGAAGTCGTTTTATTTTTTTGTTAAAAAATATTTTATTGTAAAAAAAAAAAACGATTGTATAAATTATTGGCTCTACTTACAATTATCTCGAGATAAAACGTGATTACTTTCCTCGATCGTGCTTCATGATACACTGATCAGGAAGCTTTCCCATTACGGAATTAGAGGTGCATCTCTGGACCTTCTTACCTCATACCTGAGTAATAGGGTTCAGAGAGTCGAAGTAAACGGAATGGTTTCTGCCGGGTCTGTTGTGAAGATGGGTGTTCCGCAGGGTTCTATTCTCGGCCCGTTTTTATTTCTTATCTATATTAATGACTTGCCTTACCTTGTAAGGGATAAACACGAGATAGTGCTGTTTGCTGATGATACCTCACTATTATTCAAACTCAGACGACGACAATCATTAATTGACAATGTAAACAGTGCTCTCTCAGAAATAGTTCACTGGTTTGGTGTGAATAACTTATTACTAAACGAAACTAAAACTAAATGTATTAAATTCACAACACCAAATGTTAAACAGATAAAAACCAGTGTGCTTGTCAAGGGCGAGGAGTTGAGTCCTGTAGATACAACTGTCTTTTTAGGTATAACCCTGGACGCTAAGCTCCAGTGGGGCCCACATATAGATGGCTTGTCGAAGAAGCTCAGTTCTGCAGCATATGCCGTTAAAAAAATTAGAAATTTAACAGATATAGATACAGCGCGGTTAATTTATTTTGGTTATTTCCACAGCATCATGTCATACGGTATTTTGTTGTGGGGGAATGCTGCTGACATCCAGTCTATTTTTGTTCTGCAGAAAAGGGCTATTCGATCAATCTATAATCTTAGTCCGAGGCATTCGCTCAGAGAATTATTTAAGGAATCTAAAATAATGACAGTTGCCTCTCAATATATTTATGAAAATGTAATTCACGCTCATAAAAACAAAAGCTTATTTAAGAAATATAGTGATATACATAATATCAACACGAGGGGGAAAAACAAATATGTTGTGCCTGCCTCCAGGCTTCAGAAAATAAGTAGTTCGTTTAGGTGTCAATGTATACGCTTTTACAATAAAATTCCTAGCGATATTCAAAATTTGAGCCTCAATAAATTTAAAAGTGTAATAAAGGCTAAACTTTGCTGTAAAGCATTTTATAAAATAAAAGACTACTTAGAGGATAGTCAGGCTTGGGAATGAGCCGCTGTAATGTCTGCACAGGTCATGTTGACATGTTTGTAACATAAGTTACACTTTTATATACAATTTGACATTACGTTTATTTTTTTTTTTATACAATGACATGATCACATAGTGTGACATTTTTATTTTTTATTTGACATTTTTTTTTATTTATTTGTTGACATTTTTATTATTTTATAGTATTGTTAGTGTAAGGACCGTGTGAGACTTGTCGTGCTTTTTTATCACCAGTCATCTGCGTTCTGACAGTTTGAGTACTTGCGCGACCCACCCAAATGTTCTTTTGATCGGTATTGTTCGTCGGACAACTCAACAGCACTAGCTATATGGTTGCAAACTGACACTTGCGTGCCTGTCTTCAGAACGGGTCCACTTAAACTGGTGTGGTTCTTTCCTCAAAAGACCACTACAGAATGAACTTGCACGGTTCTCTCACATTATGTTATTTTATATTGTCTGGACTTGAAAAGAGACTGACCTCTGAGTTTGTTTCGGCATTTCTTCTCAGAGTAGTCAGATAGGAAATGCCGGCTTCATCTAGTTTTTCACATATAATTTGACGTGTAAAAGTGCCGTTTTAAGGCCTATTTGCAAAAATAAATTCATTGTTTCATTGTTTCATTGTTTCATTGATCATCATCATCAACCTAGCCTGCAGTGGGCCCTCCACAGTCCAGCGGTCGACTGCAGCTATTAATAGTTTACGAGGCGTAACATACAATTAATTGTTGAGTTTATGTATTATGTGCTTCACAAGCAGCGGTGCAGGTGTACATGCAACTATATTTTATTCATACGATAGCCCAGCAAGCCTCTCAAGTGACGGTCAGCAATCCGCGCCGCAACATATAGTATTGTAGGTACATACTATATGTATATGTCAGGGTTACTTACATCTGCCTGATCTGGATCTGGACATTGGGAGTTTGGTAGATGTTTATATTGAACAGTGTACATCATGTGGCTGATGGTGCGATGATCAGCAGCGTGTGCCTAAATGCAAAAACAACGCTTCAAATTTTCCATCTCTTGAGCCATATCCACTGGAAGCAATGTGATCGCTTCGCAGGGTTACTTTATCGAAGTAAATATATGTTGTATGTATATTTATTTATTGTGAGTGACTTTCTTTGATTTTGATTAATGTAAGAAGTAGATATTGTGTAAGTATACCGTAATCAGTCACAATTACATTGATTTGCCTTTGGTTTTAGCGTGGTCAAACCAAAAATAAAATAACAGCAGTGCTAGAGTTTGGTCGCTAGGTCTAGGAAAGTTGGTATTTTTGAAATGCTTCAGAAATAACCAATCAAAAACATAAATGTGAAATGGGAGCCAAGTTTAATATTATGATAAATGCCTTGGTTGTTTTGACTTCAACGACAAAATAAGAGAGATCTAAATGGGTGCCAAGTTAAAATGGTCAGTCCTGAAATTTATTTATAAGTAACAGTACAACATATCATATCTTCTTTTAACATAAGATAATGTATTGTAGCCTAAGCTCTGATTTGGCGAGTTCTCATAAACCTTCCAACAAATTTATTATGTTCGATCGCTAGTTTCTATCAACAATCCAAATAATAAATAATTCATATATATGAAAAGTAGCCAAGACAGACTGTATAGAATACATAGTTATCTCGCAAGTCTCAATATATGAGCCAAATTTCATACGTTTATGTGAAATAGTTTTTAATTTATGAGGCGGTCAAAAGTGGCTCGAAATGGTTCCTGTAATATTAGACACGGTGCGGCTCGCCAGTTCTGTTTCTTGAAAGCCTAGTAACCATTTCATTAAAAAAAATATATAATATTATGAAAAAAAAATAAGAATCTCATCATGACAATAAAAAATACCAACTACATATAACATGTATGCTACTAAATGGTACTTGTTGGAAACAATTCAAGCATGTCATATAGCATAGAGGCGGTAAGCGGCAATCCATTAAGACCAAGATGCAGAGCATAAGGAGATGACAGATTGCCAGGCCAAGCAAAGCAGTCATCCTCGCAAAGAAGGAGGCGGAGCGCATCATGAGGGAAGTATTGTCCTCACTCCGCAGCCGCCGCAGAGGAGACACTCTGGATAAGGCGGGCAGGTTGTCGCCCGAAATGTACCCGACCCGACAGTACAGCGCGTCTGTGTGTCCTCCGTCAGACTCATTAGGGCTGATGTCCACGTCAGGATTGGGGGTACAAACCCAAAAATGTATCGCGCTCAGCTGGGGAAGGTACGGGGCGGTTTTTAGTTTATTATATCTGTCTTATGGGTGTGTGTATACAATTATATATCGATACAATTTCACTTATTCATTTTCCGTTTTGCCCTGTAACATGAAATTTGTAAAAAAAGACTGGAACCTAACTGGCGAGGCTGGGCAACTGTGATTTGCAGCAAAGTTGGATTCCCGCACGGAACAACACTTTGTGTGATCCACAAATTGTTGTTTCGGGTCTGGGTGTCATGTGTATGTGAAATAATAATTGAGTGTTTGTAAACGCACACACGACGCAGGAGAAAATCCTAGTAAGTAATGTGGCAAAGTTTATATTTTTCCAAAAATCTTTGCCATCCTTCATTACACTCATGTGGTTATGATTATCCAATGAATGGGTGCAACTGCAGACTGCGAGTATATGAGTGGTGTTCCTGCCTAGAGCCGGTATAACTAGGTGCATGTAGAGGTTTGTGTCCCTGGCTGTGCACAGCGTTGCCGTGAAGTCGGCGGTCGTTGCCGAGTGACACGCATGATGAATTTATTCGTGAAATGAAGTGAGAGGGTCCCCGCCGCGGCACACCGCGCCGTCACTCAGGCCGCGGGGCGCGGGCGCGGCCGGGGGCGAGGGCGCAGGGGCGCGAGGTGACTCGGAAAAGGGGCCTGTGCTTGCTGCCTTTACAGTTTCATTAACCGTGAAAATTACATTTCTCGTATCAGTGGCGCTGAGTGGCGCGCCCGGTGCCCTCCGTCACCAGTCCCGACATATTACTTGTGCGAGTGTGACTACCACTCACGTAGTCACCGCACCAGCGCACACATACACAATGATAATACATTAGTCGGCAGGATCAGTAGGATTACATCTCGCTAGATACAGTTGGTTAAATAAATGACCTGACTGTATCAAAATAGATCAGAAAAGTGACCAAAGTAATAAAGTAGATAGGTACTGTTGTGTGAAGTATACCTAGTAGTGATTACTACCCATTCTCCATCATAGTATTATACATGCAGATATTTCATGTAATGCGTGTAAAGAAACGTATAGTCTGTCGGGATTATCTCGCAGTTTTACTTTTTATGAGTTAGATACATAATGAGGTAGAGCATGCAGTGCGTGATTCGGTTCACAGAATCGTGTCGATATCATTAGAGCAAGATATTTCTTGCGCGCTGTATCAATACACCATCATGCCTTATACGCGGCTCGTAAGAAACGTAATTATATCGCAGAGACCGCGTCGCCCCGCCCACTCCGCCTACTGCGCGCGCGCCGCTCCGCCAGCTCCGGCCCGCGGCAATACGAGCTATATGTACGCTCACTCTGTATACACGCCCAGCGCCACATCACCTACATTTGCGAGGGGGTTCATTCACCACACGTTTCGAATAGTTACCTTCTTTTTCTTAACTTTTAGGTAACCCTAACCTGAGGTACGTACCTAAACAGTAAATTCCGTTCGGTCATAAACCGGATGATCGTACTCACTAGCGTTAACTATACGATTTCTGTCATCCGTATTCTCAGCAGCATCCATTGTAACGTATTGTTTAGGTCGGCATAAACAATCTCGGTTCTGACAGTTCTAGTTGCATGCAACTGACTTTCTGCAAAAACAATGTAGCCATCAAATAATGAACATCAGTGATGGAAACCATTTCATCGCCAGCGTTGATTCAGCCGAACACCAAAATGTACTTACAATTAAAAGTTTGCGAATATTTTCGTACAAGTACACACATGTATAAGTGTAAGAGAGCCAAGCTTCAGCACGAATGGCTCGACTCGACCGGAGTGATACCACGGTCTCACTGAAAACCGACGTGAAACAACGACAGTGTAAAAAATCCGAGACCCTTACTTATCCCTAAAAAGGCCAGCAACGCACTCGTAACTCCTTTGGTGTTGCCTATGGGCGGTGCCAATTGCTTAGCATCATATAATCTATCTGGTCGTTTGCCAAACTATCCCATAGAAACACAAATACTTCTTACTTAATATTTATATTGCACATTTCCATAGGATGAATAGGTAGCAGTATCTTAAATTTGGCAGTTACCGACTTCACGTACGGGGCTATATTTCTCAAGAAGCTCTAATCTAGATACAATAAAGTCCACTAGCAGAACTGTCGTGGTGGCAAAAGCAGACTTCCCAATAAAAATAAGTAGTTGCAAGTTGTATAAACGACGAAGCCTCCTGTCTCTGGACTCTGAGGCATAATATGTGGGTAGGTACATGCAGACGTTCCGCGTCAGTCACCGCCTGTCTGTAAATTTGTAGTAAAGCAAGGCGCGGTCGCCAGGTGCCGAGGTGGCTGGTGCTGGCTGCGAGGGGCGAGGCCCGAGCGTGCTGTGGGCGCGGAGTATGGCGGCCGTGATTAGGCGCGGCGCGGCCGCAATTACCGGCGGCGGCGCGAAATGTGTGGCGTGCCGGCCGCGCCGCCCGCATAAATAAACTATAGTGGCGAACTGAGACAAAGCCGATGCTCCGATAGCGAACAAAGCGCGCGTCGTTTTGGTCGCGTTGTGGCCGCGCGACCGCGCGACGTGTTAATTCCGCGCGGCCGCGATACCATCGCCGCGCGCGACACAGATATATTATCGCGCTGACAATTATTCCGATAACGCACGCTCGCCCCCGCCCCCCGCCCCCCGCACTGCACTGCTGCACTCCCAGTCCGCACTGCTCCTCACTATGTCTGTGCTCCTATGCTACTTACATTATTAACAACGACAATTTGTAGAACCTATGGATGAATCTTTGATATTTTAGATAGCTCGTAAATCCTGCGCAACAGATTTTGATGAACACAGACATGTAAATCATAGTAGAATAGCATACACAGACACAGCCACTGGCAGTGGCTAGTGTAAATCTATGTGCAATTAACTTACATTTGTCTTTTCTTTTACTTATATCGAGAGTATTACACCCAAGTATTAAGTCCGTTGTTATTTAACACCAGTTTACCGAATCAGCTCTCGTCATGTGTCCAGTACTTCTTTACTTCCGTTGGTCAATTGTTGACAAAATGTCTGGAAGGTTTGTTCGTCTAAATGGTCTGCACTACGTAGATATATGGGGCGTGTTGCGTTACAAGGACCTTAGACAATTCCCAGATGACACACAAGTTGTGTGTGTGTGTTTGTAAGTGCCCAACCGTAAGTCACACAAGGTAGCACGCAGTGGTAGAAAACATTTTGCTTTGTGTTGCCAAGTCTCAATTCTCTCCAGTCTCTGATTGGATAATCTCTTTTAATGCCCAGTATTTCCTGCAGCACCAGGCTATTCTTGTGCTCACTGCTTTGCCGGTTTGGCATTGGCCGCTATTGTTTGGTCTAAATAAATAAATGAGTATATTCTTCTGCATAATCAGTTGAGTCCACTTTTATTACCTCTTTATTAGATTTGGTTGATAGTTTCGTTTTTTTAACAATTAAAGTTTAATTTTGATTTCTATATTGTTGAAGCTTTACTTGACATCGCCTACACTTGGTGATAAATGATAGATGATGGCACTTGAAAGTAAGGACAGGATGTCCGGAGAAGGAAATGATTGACGTTACAGTTTGCGTACAAGTTTTACTGACGTGCCCCACGATACAAATTATGTATGTAAATAAAGATTAACCTGAACAGTTGTGTTAACAGATATGTCATATCAAAACTTATACTTATGAGTACTTACTCATTGTGTAGAAGACGGTTATATTTTATTATTAGAGTTCTAGTCTAGGCACTGATATTACAATTATGTGAAAATTTGTGAGAATGTATCAATATATGTCTGTTCTTCTTTCACGTAAAATATATTTAACGAATCTAAATGACATTTGGCACAAAGGTAGATTATAGCCCGGATTAACACAGCCTATTTTTTCTGATACTGCGGGCAAAGCCGCTGGCAGAAACTAGTGACATTAAATGTAATTAAATATTAACTGAAGTACAACCACTACATATCCAACAGATACAGACAATCAAGCAAAGTTCCTGTTTCTAAGCAACTAACTAGCTCCTGGGTCAGCAGAATGTGTCGTAGGAACCAAACATAGCGTCGTCCCAGACTACAACCTGTATATGTGGCAAAATCCATTGACACCTGGTCAGCAGCGCATGCGCGATATAGTACAATTAAATCTCCCGCTTCTACAATTCAGCATCAGAAATAAACTTACTACCAGAATGGGTCTTTCTTTGAATTATTGATGAAACTGTGCGATGTCCCAACTTTTTGCATCCAATGTTGTAGTTATTTCTCTTAAATTATCTAGAAGAATACTAAAACTAAGCCTTTAATTCAGTTAAATCATGATAATATCTAATAATAGTAAAGTAATGTCCAAGACTATTTTATAAATTCTGTTGTAGATTTATGAGAGGAAAATGTAGGTGTATGTTCTGAGTAGTAGTCGTAGTATGATAAGTAGCCGGTAATTGAACGGGTAGTTAAGCTGGTTGGTTACGACATATCCATTAAACCAAACAACAAAATACATCTACATTATGTTGTTCCTACAGACAGAATACAGGCGCATGAACAATCACAAACATGTATTTATAAGTAGGCACCGTCGAGTGCTATCAGAGCACGCCATGCAGAGAGGGCAACACAGCTCATACAGATGTTGATGCTGCTAATAGATACCTCATTACCGGATTATTAATAAGCATAGGTACGTAGTATGGACGGCCATGACATCACGGAACTCGCTTTTTTCATTTCTCGATAAATATTTTCTGTTGTAAGTACCTACTTTATGATATGGCAAAATATGAAGTAAAATTATATATAACTACCTTCAAGATGCTGTTATAAAATAATATGTATAAAGGTGATTGATTGTTCTTTAATACTATTGCGGTATACTTAGGTACCTACTTGTTTCTAACATTGTTGTTGAGCACCGATTAATCAATCTAAGTAAGTGGATTTTTTTGTTGCCCTTGCATTGAAGTCTGCGTGTGGACTGTGTTAGAACATCGGGAATCGGCGCTCCGCTGGTACGTGCATATTGGCACATTACGCACTAGACAGCGGTGACCCTCGAAGAAACTGTTCTGTTTATAAGTATTTGTATATCCTACTGACTACTGCAGTACGCTGTACACTTGATTGATTTCTTCCAAAAGTTCACAATATGTTTAGATAGATTTCTTTATGAAAATTGTGTTGTGTGTGCTGTTTCAGAAGGAATCAAAATCGGGTAAACTACCGGGCCGAATTAATAGTACTAACATTATTGCCGAATGCTGATAATGTAGTATGGCGGCGGGTGTTAATACCTAGTCTAATGAGACCACCAGATAAATAACGTATAAGTGTGTAGGTAGGTAGGAACGTTCGTCGGTCGCACGCTGCGGAGCGCGCCGCCGCCGACCGTTTTAACAATTAGCTAATGGGTGTCGCACAATAAAATTCATCAAGCGAACATCTCATCCAATTAATGTCAGGACGTGTGTGGAGGTGACGGCGGCGCTCCGTCTGTAACACGAGAAGACACGTTTTTACAACGAGCGGCCACAAAAAGTGGGGGCGGCGCGCCCGATACAACAAACCGTAAACGCCAACGAGGCGGCGCGGGCGGCCATCTGCGTCGCAGCCGCACCACCGCACCACCTCATCCATCACTGTCCCCACACTCGCAGCCAACACTTACCTGGCGTGGGTGGAACACGGGGAGGTACTAACTCCTTACTATGTGTGTAACTCATTAGTACATAACAGTACAAGAAACTGCTGGCAGCAGCGCAGGAAGCGGCACCGGCCCTGGCAGGCTCCTGGCAGAATCGCTGCGTAAGTAAGGTCGGAGTGGCGGCAGTAGGGAGCGCGACGAGGCCACATGTGCCGCTAACGAGCCCCGCTTCCGCGCGCCACGTGTGCGCTGCGCTTCCTGGTCGCGGCCTCACTCACTGCAGCGCCTGCAAAAAAGCCTGTAACCGCAACTTAACGTTCATTAGGGTCAGAGATTGTGCTCAGCTATTTATAAAGGTACAATGTTTAGGTAGTTGCGACAATGCCTCCTCCGCAGCCGCACACATGTGTCGCTGCGCCGGTTCCCACGAGGACGCGCATTCCTTCCCAAACGTCGCGCACCTTTTGCTTTATTTTGCGTTTCGGCTGGAGGTGACAACCACTTCTCCGCTGTTACCGAGCTATACGCGGACCTACTCACACAGGCCCCATAAAACAAATAAAGAAAGAATAATCATTTACTTATACAGAAAATGATATGTGGTCCATATAATGTTTTCTTTTTAGCAGCATACCTTCAATATGCGGAATTATTAAGTTGAGAATAGAAATAACTTAAACTTACATAAAACAAAAAAACATAATATAAGTACGCAAAGTACGTATAAAAATGAAGAGCTTGATGAATGATTTGATTTGACAAAAATCGCTAAAGTATTTATAGATTCTCTCTGAAACGGCACAATAATACATATAACCATTCAATTCAAATTGGAAAAGGATAGATAGTAAAAATAATATACAAATTATATATACTTATGTACAAACATACAAATATTAATGTATTTTACGATAAGTATATCTACTTCTTCACGGTTGGTGCGGTGGCTGGGCAACTGGCTGCCGTGCAACGTGTCGCGGGTTCGATTCCCGCACGGAACAAAATTTTGTGTGTTCCACAAATTGTTGTTTCGGGTCTGGATGTGATGTGTATGTGAAATTGAATGTTTGTAAACGACACAGGAGAAAATCCTAGTGTGGGGCAACGTTAAAAGGTTGACGTATATTACTTAATAATGGATTTTTCTAGATTATTCAAGAGAAATACGTTTAACATTAAAAACATTATGACGTCACAACGTGCCAGGTATTTCAAAATGTCGTTTTTGAAATTTCAAAAAAGTATTGAGATGATTAATTGGAAACTAACCTATTGCCATACTCACACATTTACAGCCAAACTTTGGCACGAATGGGTCGGCTCGACCGGAGTGATTCCACGACCACACAGAAAACGGTCGTGAAACAACCACAGCGTTATATTTCGGCGTGTGAATAATGTTACCGAAGACTCGATCCTTCCCCTCCCCATCCCTCCCCAATCCTTAAGTATCCAAAACCCTTACCCCCAAAAGGCTGGCAACACACTCGTAACTTCTGGTGTTGCTTATCATCTAGCTATTAGGTTTCCTCGTTTGCCGACCTATCACATACAAAAAACTCATTCAAAGATAGTTAAGTTGGTCCTGGTGTTCGTGTCTAATCTAAACTGACTAAATATATCGTCCAACTTAATAATCTGTGAAACTGATTGAAAAACAGTTACTTTTTTTTTGTGAGTGGAAAATCATCCAATGACATCTCCCGCCCAGGGCCGGGCAGGAGGGAGTGTCAGGCTCTTACTGACTAAAAACCTCCCTGTTCCTTCTCCTGCTCTGTGCCGAGGTCGCGGTACCCTGGAGTAGGTACCTTGCTCGTTCCCTCCATAAGAACCTACACTTTGGAACGAGCAAATATCTTCACTAGAGGACTGACCGACGGAATGCCACTTGTAATCTTTAAATCTTTGCTTGATGATCAAAATAGCTTTTAATGACTACTGCACTTTCAGTTACAGAATATTACATAAAGTATTCTGCATCACGTAAATCGTGACATAAAATACATAGAACCAAGGCGATGGTAGTGACGCCATAGTGTCGGTGTGTCTTCACGAAATTATGTTCATGAATGAATGAAACTTAGCAGTAGGTATACTGGAACTGGGAAGCTATCTCCTCCTTCTTCGAAGCAGTTATGCTCGCAAAGGAGGAGGCGGAGCGCACGAGGGAACTATCCTCCTCGCGCCCCAGCCGCCGCAGAAGGCGACATTCCGGACGTCGGGGATCGAGAGATGATCTCCGGCCACCGTAAGCGCGGGTCTGCTGACGGCGAGTAAATAGCTCGCCGCCCGACCAGAATCGGTCCCGAGCGTACGGCGCGTAGCGTTCCGCGCGCGCCTCAAAGAGCCAATAGACCACCACAGTCGGGGCCCTAAAGGGCTGATGTTTAGCCGGGGCTGCGGGGTAAGCGCAATGAGGCACCGCGACCTCGGCCCAGAGCAGGAAAAGGAAAGGTTTTTAGTCAGTCAGAGTCTGACACTCCCTCTCGCCTTACCCTGGGAGGGAGAAGTCATTGGATGATTTTCCCCTGACAAAAAAAAAGCAGTAGGTATACTGAAACATTTTTCTCGGACAATGTTTAAGATTTCAATCTATGACTCTTACTGAATAACCCCCCCCCCCCTCCTCCGTTACTTCTCCTGCTCTGGGCCGAGGTCACGGCGCCTCATTGCGCTTACCCCGCAACCCCGGCTGAACATCAGCCCTATACGGCCCCGTCTGTGGTGGTCTATTGGCTCTTTGAGGCGCGCGCGGAACGCTACGCGCCGTACGCTCGGGCCTGGTTCTAGTCGGGCGGCGAGATACACTTACTCACCGTCCGCAGACCCGCGCTTACGGTGGCCGGAGATCGTCTCTTGAACTCCGGCCACCGTAGTGTCGCCTGCTGCGGCGGCTGGAGCGTGAGGAGGAGGGTTCCTCACGCAGGCCGCCTCCCTCTTTGCGAGCATAACTGCTTCACAGAAGGAAGAAACGGCGTCCCAGTTCCTCTCCCTCTGCACCATGGTCACGACTAAAGCCGGGCGCGAGAGGTCGCCGCCACCGATCACTTCCCTGAGGACACGGCGGTGCTCAGCCCAGGCAGAGCATACCACCACCGTATCCTCTGTGTGGTCCTCACAATGACGACACTCGGGCGTTTCCTCCTCCTGGATCCGAAACAGGAACCTACTGAAGCTGTTGCCCGGAGGTTAAGGCGCCCGCTTCGCATAACAAACGACTAAATGAGGGTGCGGGAATGCCAGTGTGACTTATTCTGAGTTATATGTACTATATACTTTTTATTATTATTTGATACCACTGACATACGGTGAAGGAAATCATCGTGAGGAAAACTGGATTTATTTACTCCAATTATATGTTTTAAATCGCCCATCCGCCTTAAGCAAGCGTGTTGATTAATACTCAAACCTTCTCCGTGTGAGAAGAGGCGTTAACTCAGCACGCAATAAAAAAACATTTCATTTTAGTTATTGATTTAATTATAAATTTGTGGTCAATATTATAAATAAATAATATGTGGTCGTCTTTTGCATTCTCTTAGAATAGGGAGGCGTTTGGCCTCAACCACAGCCAATAAAAAAATACATCATCGGTTTCTCATAAGGAAGACAACTTAAACCCACCCTTAAATTCAGGCGCGCACACTGGCGTGGTCGTTGAGCTATTCCTTAGAATGTCTTCTTCTGTGTGTCCTTGTAAAGAATTGTGTGGCTCCATCAGTATTCCGGGCGGCACTCGTTTATTGCTCAATACTTAGCAGATTACTAGCATCGCCCGGGCCCGCACCGGGCTGCGTGCATACTAATGGCGCCGGGGACAGCTCGAGCCCGGCCCGGCGCGATGAAGTCTTCGCCGACCTCATAGCAGAGAGTAACTGATACTAATTATAATATTTATGACGCCATTAACGATCCATTAGCATAAATTACGTGTCGCGACAAATTTCAGGGTGTCGCGAGACGCGCCGGAGCTTTATACTTTTATTTCAGTACGAATGTTTAGTTAGGTGAGCTTTCGCCGTGAAACCGTGGAGTGCGCATAATGTGTCCAAAAGCGTCCCGCGCACTATTAGTAGAGCGCGTTATTTGTGAGACATTGTCTGCGCTGACAATGCTCGTCCGTCTCGGCGACGTAATGTGTCGCGTGTTTACAAACACCGCGGCCGCGGCTAATGGCGGCCGACGTGCTCGCACACAATACTCTAACATAATAGTTCCGATTTAGAAACACATTAACAGCATCTCAACAAAACACTTTACACACTCTTATTTATCTAGAGAGCGGCGGACATTTACGATACGGATTAATGAGGCGACGCGCTCTACACGCCAGGCGGTGCTAGCGACAGCTGTCGAGCTGGCGACCCACTCGCTAACTTACGCTGTGCCTCGAGCCCCGTGCTTAGCTACTATGAACCATGGACTCACAGACTATGGGGCTTAATAAATTTAGGTACTCCATATTTATAGTAGATAGTAAATGTATACGCAAATCAGTTCAGAACAGTTAAGCTATAAATACCCTAACTTTTCGAAAATGTGTCAGCGCTTATTCTGCATAATAGGGTTTTTAATTATCCTTATATATAGGTTTAGCACGTTTGGTTCCATGCGCACTGTTATGGAACACCTGCTTCTGCTTGGGAGTACCAGAAGCTGCTGTCCAGTCTCTGTGAGATGTATGGTCCCTCAATCGGCACCCACGTGTATAGCATATTAGAAATATGCATATTTATGAATACAATTTTCCATTTGCTGGTAGTTTTCACCTTATCAACGTCGGCACGTCCAATATAATACTTACACGCCTCATCAGCGATGATTAATGTAAGCGCAGGCAACGACGGGCGCGGGCCGCTATCCTTCCATCTAAATATTCTCCTAATTCCATCAGTTCATTTATTTGCTACATATGAATAGAATGCTTATTGCCTTGTATTTATACATGTATATATAATTATATATACTACTTACTGCTTCCCCTGTTACTGTTTCGCTGCCATTTTTTTTCATTACCATTCACTCTAAGGTTAAATATATTAATATCATTACAAACAAAGCTTTACATTCCATTCTAGTTTATTTATCTATCTTTGTTTTTGTTTAAATATTTAATACACTTGCATTTGTTGTGTTCGTATGGTAAATTAGAAAAATTTAAAGTATTGATTTACATGAATAACTTGTCAATAAGGGTGGTTACCAGTGGTACGTGTAGCTATCAGTAAAACGGTGCCAGAGCAATGACTAGTCGTTTCTCAAGACTTGTAAAGCGGATGCAAGATATAGCCCCAGAGGCAAAATGGACGCATTGTGGAAATCATTGAGAGACACTGGCCTGTAAAAAAATTCAGCCAGCTATTACTACTATAGATAATTATACTCTCAAAAATGCTGTAAAAAATTTGAACTTAATCAAGGCACGTGCCACAAACTCTACAATTTTTGCAGCTGCAAAGAGCTTGACAGTGAACATGAGACCCTATTGTTACATACTAAGGTGCGTTGATTGTCCAGAGGAAGAGTTGTTTCAAGAATATTTGAGTTAAGACATGAAATTGAGTTAGTTTTGGTCGAGCAGGGATACGATGAGTACAGATTCTGACTGACTCTTTGTGGGTGCAAAAATTGGCATACTTGCCAGATATCTTCGCAAAATCAAAATGGACTTTGTGACTACAAGGCCGTGGCACAACCATATTCTCTATGCAGGAGAAAGTTGAGTCCACAATAAAAAAATATCCCTCTGCATATCTTTGAGTGACAAGTGTAAATATGACCAGTTTTTAAATCCGAAACTTCTTTTAGATACAACTTATTCGACAGTAAATGAAGATTTAAAATCCGTCATAAAAATTTAATGCTGCTTGCAAAATCTGTCGGCGGTTTAACGCACTGATATCCCAGAAATATCGCCGCATTGGAACTGGATAAAAAATCCTTTCGCGAACCATTCCGTCGACCACCTACCCATCTTTGATCAAGAGGAATTTATAGACATCTCATGCAACAACAGACTCAAGAGTGGTTTTGCAGAGCAAACACTGCGTGACTTTTGGGCAAATTTAAAAGATATATAACATATCATCGAATCAGTATAAAATATTTACTGCCATTTTACACGAGCTACTTCTATGTAAGCGGATTTTCGGCCATGACGAACTTAAAAACTAAACATCGTCACAGACTTCAACTTGAAGACGATTTAAGACTGAAGCTGACTGAAGGACAACCAGATATTTAAGAGCTATGCAAAGAAAAATGTGCACATTTGTCACATTAGCTTCTTCGCCAATACATCATATAATTCTGTTTATATATATTTAATTTTCACTATTGTACTGTAATTTGAAGATAATAAATATTATTTAAGTAAACAGTTTTTTTTTATTTATCACTAGCCCCTCGGCGTTACCTGCGGTTTAAGTACCCTATATCCAGGGTCTCAATAACCTGTATACCAAATTTAAGCGAAATTGGTCTAGTCTAGGCAACATATTGAACGTGGTGAAGTAACAAACATATACACACACTCACAAACCTTCGCATTTATAATATTAGTATTAGTGTGATTGGTCCCATAAGGGGTACGCAGGTTTGAGGTCTTTTTTGAAGTGGTACACAGAAAAACCTATTTGGGAACCACTGGTCTATAAGTAACACTTTTAGTGCCCCTCTGACACCTCGCAACTAACTCGGCAAAATCTAAAATGTTTCTTTTAAATGATCCATCATCATTAGGTACACCCAAATAGTACCGGCTCAAAGCAAATTTTAGAATCCAGTGAGATAAAGTTATGGCAGTTCTCCTATTTGCTACGAATATCACACACCTGTAGCAGTTGTGAGTAGCCTAGACCTGCGACCATACTCTGGACTAGTAATAGTTTCCATTTTTGTTTTTTAACTTTTAGGCGCTCTCTAGGATCCGACTCCTAGAGCCTAGATCTCAGTTCGCGGCATGGGCGGGCCAGCTCTGTATTCAACCTGGGGACTAACTAATACTTGCTAGCAGGTTTGTCCCCACCCAATTTCACAGGCACCTCTAATATTCTACTTCTAAGGATTGCGGTGAAAGTGAACATTTGCTTATAATGCAACGCTTCATTCGAGTCGATTGAAAATCCGTCGCGCAGAAACTCTCAAATCTTTTGCAATGATATCGTGAGTATACAATCTGCTTTTTTTACGTTACGTTCTTATTTGTGTGTTTTTGTGTTTCATTTGTTTAATCTGAGTGTCGTACAGCTCTGTCAATGGTACTTGTAATGCTTTGAGATAAACAATAACTACACACATACTTACCAATCGCACATCACTGTGGTCGAAAGCTAACATAATGTATGTGAAGAATGAGGTATGATGCGTGGCGGTACTGAGGTAGGTAATATAAAATAAATAAAACAGCCAAGTGAAACAATCACAGTAGATAATGGAATTTATTTAGTTGTTTAACTAAGAGCGCGGTGTCGACACCGGCACCGCGCTCTCTACAAGTCTGCTGCAACTGTCGCTATCACCTATGCTCCTATGCTCCTATGCACCTAGCCTAGAGGCAACTATATGTACAATTCGATTACTCCTAGCGACACGCGCGCCACCTACGACACAGCGTGACAATACTGCCTACTTCTCACATGTCTAAACAGTTACAAATGAATTCCAATCAATGACGTACAATATCAGTTTCAAGTGAAATTCCCTAAAATGATACGAGATCTGAGCGACACTACAAGCAGGTATCATCAAACATTACGTATCTACATATTTATATTAAATACACTTAATAAAATACGTTATCCCCATAGTAGTACTAGAATGCCCTCTACACGCCCGGCACCGACACCGGGGCTGGGGTTCGTCCCACCGATACCATCCATCGGGGTATTCCTCGCGGCGCACCGAGTCACGGCACGCACACACCGATGCCACCGATGTTGGAGTAACATATGTTTGTCCAATGTAGGAAGTACCACTAACTCGTGTGCGCTACGCTTTACGGAGTACCCCCATGTAAACAAGCCCGTGATGGTCATCCAGCCGGAAGTATATTAATGTCCTGTAGTGCGCTCCTCCTCAGTCCTCCTTGTTTACAGTTAATGAAGCATGTCCCTCACTTAGCAAATACAGCATCTAACATATACAACACTATCTAATTACATTACACATTAACATCGCTTCATTAAATACTCACAGTTGAACATTTTTAGATTGGTAATTACAGATACTCATTGTATGTATATATTTCAGGACACATTACTTTTTTCAGCATTTTATCATTCTATCTAAAACAAAGTTCATTAGGAAGGTATACATCGCAATACCTCTTGCATCGCGCGACAACGACTCCGACCTGCCAGGGTTGCTACACCGCACGTCATGGCCCTGCACGTCGTACAGAGCGCGCACGCACACACGCAAGCCACGTGTCTCACTAGTCCACACGCGCAGTGTCCGGACGCCGGCACTAGCAATGTCTCAGCACTGGGTCACTACGCGGCACTGAGCCCGCGGGGGCGCGCTCGCTGCTGCCTCAGAACCAGTACAGGTCCTTGGACGTGTCCTGCACCTGCGCCTCCAGACCTGCACACACAAGCACCGCCCTCAGCACTCGCCATCCAACACCCTCCAATACTCACTGAAGCTGCGCTAGCCGAGCGGTTACTACTTTCTGCCGATACCTACTCTACTCAGCTTGTAGGTAAGCAAGATATTATGAAATTACATTCACATGTTTCAGGTGTCTATGCATTATGTATTCAACAACGATTAACGTACTTAGTTTGTATTCATTTTGTTTAGACCTGGCGCCTTATTAGGTATTTTAAAATCCAGACTTTAGGCAAACCCATTTGTATATTGGAATTTAACGGGACTTGGTTGTAAGATGAGTAGCTACACAGCTACAGTACAGGCTGCAGGCTAGAAGGCTGCGGTGGCGAATTGATGTAATACATGTCGTCATGCTCGAGCTGGGCACTGAGCTACTGAGCTGCTGGATAATTGACATGGCGCGTGATTTAGTGGGGCAGGGCCATGGGGGCTGCGGGGGCTGCGGAGGCGCGGGGCGCGGCGGTCAGCGCACCCTCATTGGCGGCGCGACTCCGCCCCGCGCCGGCCACCGCGCCACCATCGATCTACGGCCCGCCGGCCACTACACTACCTACACTGCACTACTCCAGTTGAACCAGGTCAATCCAATTGCAACAATTTACTTACCTACCCTTCCATCTACATTATGTATTAGTACTACTAGAATTTATCATCGATTTCAATTCAAAAATAATAATATATATTACGAATCAAAAAAAGCTATCCATAAAATAACTATCTGAACTAATGAAATATCGGGTAATGCGAGCGAAGCCGCCGGCGGATACTAACGTAGTTACATTCAATGTTGGAATAGTTAATGTTGCAGATACAGAAGATATATCACCAACCTCTACCTATCCGGGGCAAGCTGTGATCTACACACGCAGAAGATAACCTGCGTGGCGGGCACACGACCCGTATTTAGGCCTAAATGTATGTTACTCTTAGCTGGTAAAGCTGCGACTACTAGTGGGCTACGTAGCCTCGGTATACCTGGATTTGTATATACGCAGTGACATAACTCCAAGATGGCAGGTAGCAGGGACGGGTAACTATATTCGTCGCTATTTATTATTTTAAAATATAAAACATGAACAGAGTGTAGGTACCGTGATTACCACGCCTAGTTGCCGGAACGTGGCGGAGCCTGCTGTTTACGGGATTAAAACTATCCTGTATCCTATATCCTTTACCCGGTCACAATTTTCCTATATCATCTTAAAGATACATGGGGACACTAACGCATAGTCTCTGTTTAAAAATTCAATAATCGTTAACTCCCTTTTAGGTATAAGTGTGGGAGAACCAAGTCCCTAAATGTTCAAAATCCTAAAACTCATCCCAAAATGCCGGCAACGCACTTGTAAATCTTCTAGTAGTGGCCGATCGTTTACCATCAGGTAATGCGTCTCATCGTTTGCCGACCTATTACATAATTTGCAATAATTTGCACCTAAATATGTTCGTGGTTAAAGAGACAAAAAAAAACTAGGATTTTAACGCGTAGTATCAGAAAAAATTACGTAAAAACACCTCGAGTGCCAGCTATTTTACTCCCAGCAACATATTTTTGGACTGAGGACATAATCATTTAATTGAAAATTACTCATTTAGTTGATTTAATTTTATACTTTCGTGCTTGACATTCTGTAAACGACCAGGCAGGTTATGCTTACTTAAATGCTTGCCCCTCAACTAAAGGCGGAAAGTCCTGAAACGTATTCCGCGGCTGTAAATGAATTTGTACATTTCAAGAATCAAAAGGGCTTCCCTAACTTAAAAGCAAAACATTATCAGTCAAGCGGACGGGTGCGATCATGAAGACAATAGGGGCGCGGCGGGGGCGCAGGCGGGGCGCGGGGCGCGGGGGGGCTCGATCGCGACTCAAGAATTTAATTTGGTCGCGGAGAGGGGCCGGCTCCGCGCGCCGCGCAAATTAATTTTAATCGTCGTCATTAGGGAGCAAGCCGGCCCTGCGCCCCCGCGCCCCCGCCCCCGCCATTATGGACGCTAGAGTCCCTTTCAACTCGCCGCCAGCGTCCGCCGTTTTTACCGCATCCACCGACGTTTATAATCGTTTGCTTATCCGAAGCGGCAATTATGCCTATCCTCAGAACCAAATCTAAATACCGCAAATCACGCGAACTTTTTCTTGCGAACTATCTCGCTCCGAAGCTCAGTGCCAGTCGTCTCCCACTCGCGCTCCGTGGGTGCACCGGCCGACCCACGGTTACACACTGGGAATGCCTCGTTTTGTCATTCGGAAAGAGCGCTTAAATCATCACAATTAAAATATTTGCGCTCGCGACTGGAATGTCTTTGAAAATTAAAATACAGTAGAACATCTGTTTGGAAACATCGAGTGGTGAAGTATGGCGGTTATTTATCGCGGCGTTTGATCGTCTAGTGCTCGGCTGCTACATGAAAAGAATCGCTTCGCATTAAAGAAAGAGTGAAAGCGTGAGGTACCGGGCACGGCGGGGTAGGAGTAGGGCGAGCAGGCGGCGGGGTCGAGGTGGTGCGAGGCGTGGTGCTGCGCGGCGGAGGGCCAGTCCACCGGCTTGTACTGCGGGTGCAGGCCGCCGCGGCCCAGCAGCAGGCCGCCGTAGCCGGCTGCCGCCGCCATGTTGTGGTGCGCCGCGGCCGCGTGGTACTCCGCCGCGTGCCGGTGCGCCGCGTGCCCGTACCTGCCGACACACGTCACTGCACTGCTGCCGTCTGCAGCCGACTGCCGCCGACTGCCGACTGCCGCCGCGCCACTCACCCCGTGTAGTGCTGGTGCCAGGGGTCGTAGTCGTAGATGTCGACGCCTGCGCAGGCGCCGCCGGCCGGCACGCCCGCCACGCCCGCCGCCGCCGCCGCGTTGAAGAACGAGGCCGGCAGGTTGCGCGACACCATCGGCACGCTCTCTGAACACACACACACACACATACACTACTGTACCGAGGGGGAGAGACATTGCCTCCCAGGGACCTATAGTTCAAGTCCTTCTCAACATTTTCACAGAGGCACGCAGTCACTGAGAGAGGGAAACTATCGAAAATATATACGTACTTGTATGTTACCTACTCTCAATATCAAATCATGTCAATGTTGTTTATAATTCGGTCTACTCCCGCTCATTTTTACATACGCTACAAGTGGTTTTTACGGTCTCCATATCTATAGCCATCTTCCTTCAATAAACCACAATGGCAGAAAAATGTTCCCAAATTGTAAATAGTGGTTAGATTGAAGTTTAGATGATAAATTCTGATTTTAAGTTTAAATTAGGGATCAGTATTGTTTCAATTAACTCCTCATACACTCACATTGTTATGAACATAAAATATTATTTTGCTATTTATAGGATAACCTACAGTTAATGAGCATGCCATCATTATTTATTATTTATTTAACCAACTTTAATAAAGAAGGAAATTAAATTGTTTTAGTTTGTTTGTTGACATTAAATTCAAACAATTCCTCACACTTACTGTGTCAGTTTGGTAGAATGGAAAAAATATATATTACTCAATTTGTAGTACTGTAGGTTTGTACGACTAGTTCCTATAAAACTAATGACCCTAGGGACTTACAGTATAGCCAGTATACCTTTTTAATTTCAAATTGATACTTATAAGAAATTGCAAAGTTTGCATTCGTACCTACAGAAAAAATAATAAGGTATGTACAGAGGGGTCAAAAAAGCAATCAAGCAATACACTCTACCAATTTTGAAATGACAAATTTCTTTGTAGTAAAAGTTCAGTAGTTCACAGCCAGTTTATTCAATAATTTAGATTCTATGCTGTAAGTTAAAGCAGTCCTCAACCATTGACTCTATTCTACAAAGATATTTTGGTCATTTTAAAATTGGTAGAGTGCAATTGCATTTTTGACTCCTGACTGTACATTCAGAATACGCTAACAAAAACAATTTGAAAACAGTGCTCCTATTTAAAAAACTTAATCGTTGACCCTCCCTGCCCTGTATGTACATTTATGAGTGGTCTCTTTGCCCGACGCAATCTGCAATAATATTCCCAGCAGCCTGCGTAGAGCTAATGAGTTGAACTTAATTCCAAGTAGAACTGCCCTGTTTCAGACAAGCGTATTCACTATGACCTAATGTATAATTAACAAACTTGTGCGAAATGTATAAAGGCAGTGACCACATATCTATTATATGTATACTAGCAGACCGCCCCTGCTTCGCACGGATAGCCGACTACCTCAGTGTCAGTCATTTGTTTTGCAAGTGAACGGCCACGGCAACAAAAGGGTTGTTGATTCCCGCAATTCCCCTTTATTTTTCCAAAGTTTTCTTTCGTAAGAACCTTCTCCTTACAATAACGAACAAAACAAAAAAAAATTAGCAAAATTGGTCCAGGCGTTCTTGAGTTATGCGCTTACCAACACATTTCGCGATTCATTTTTATATTATAAGATTATTCTACTGAGGAATTATTGAATTATAAGGTGTTGTGGTGCTTTCAGGTTGACGAATTTTATGACTGACATCATTTTTTTATTTTATGACATTGTATCTAGATTGGCATAGTAAAAAATAATTTGTTTACAAGTTTTAAAAAAACGTGAAATTGGAGTTATCACAACGTCTTACTTTATTTTGTTCTTTGCATTCCCCTAACACTTTTCCGATCATTGAGTCAAAGTCAAATAAAAGTTATTTATTGCTTTATATTATATTATTATCGATCTTGTTATATTATTTGATATTCTTAGATTTTTTAAATATACTTAGTTAATTACTTTAACATTTGTACACCATTATTTAAATGGTAGGCCTCTATAGAGATAGAGATCACTGATACTTAACATTTAAAGAGACAGTACTGAAATTTTGACTAACTTTTAGGATCCGTAACATTGTATACCTATATACTTATGCTACTTAATATATATATTTTTTAAATTGCTAGTGGCCCAGGACATGCGTCCGTATATTTGCGAGAGATAAACAAATATGGGAAAACATTCAAAACATGAGCTATCAGCTAATTTTGTTATTACTGTACGATGACCCACCAGCGAGACATTAATGAAGACAAAAAAACCCATTCCATGAAAAATCATTTGAAACGAGTTGTTCAACACTTCTCCGTCGTCACACACAGCAAACTCCCCCACTTTACGTATAAAATACAAATAATAAAACAATATTTGCTCAATGAAAGAATATAGAAGTAGGTATAAGAAGTTATAGCTTCAAGTTAAACAAAACATCATCACTTTATTTGTTACCAGCGAGCCGCGTGACGTCATAATATATCAACAAGATTGGCATTAGAATTGGTCGCATGGTCGTCATAGTTACGGCTATTCGGTGATTCTGCTATGAGGTGCTGTAGCTCTGTATGGAGGAATGCTGGCGCAATGACAATACGTCGACGTCAGTGCCTCCTAGCATTGTTGTAGCGCGCAATCTAATCATCATTTTTGTTCTTTCTTTTATGATAGGTCGGCAAACAGGCGCCGACCATGTACCTACGTACAGCCGCAACCCCAGAAGAGTTACGAATGCGTTGCCTTTCTTTTTGGGATTGATTTTGGAAATTTAGAGATTAGGAAGAGACGGAGGAGAGGAAGGATTGGGCCTGCGGTAACCTCACTTACATTGCATAACACAACTCTGTGATTGTTTCACGCCGGTTTTTGATAGGCCGTGGTATCACTCGGGTCAAACCGACCCATTCGTGCCAAAGCATGGCTCTTCCAAACTTAATTAAAATATGTATTTTTCGAGTAAAATGATTTTTTTAATAAGGCATGCATTTTATTTAATTCATCAAACCCCAAGTGAATGCGTTCGCGCACTTCTCGATTTACCACGATCGTAAGGGTAAATAAGGCAGCTACAGTAGTGGATCTAGTATTAAGTAGCATTTAGCATTTTTAAAAATATATTTCACAAAACGTTTAAATAGCTATTAATTAAATAAGTAAGAAAAGCGCTCCTAAAGGATTAAGAGTTTTTTGAGCGGAACCCCCGAGTCTACGAGTGGGTGCTAGGAAAGTAATTTCTTTGTTAATATTATACTGGTAAGCAAGTAGGAATAAACTTCCTTCTTTAAATTGCGGCTTCTCAATCAACAACTGCTATTAATCATATTTACTGCATGCGCTGAAACTTTGACACTCACTCGGAACCCTACTGACACGTTGTCGAACGGAAAAACGAATTTATCGAGAAGTTTAATATGAAACTGCGACTTTTCTGCGCGAGCAGTAGAAGCAGTAGCAGCTCAGCGATGTCGCGATGTCATGATGAGCAAAAATGAAAACTGGAGTAAAGTGAGCTGGAGCCGCCTGCCGAGGTTACTCGGCGCGTACGTACACTTGCTCCACAAACTGCGGGTACGGACAGCGCGCTCACAGGGGCATTAGTACAGAAGCGGTCGCGGCGCGGTTTTTGCGTTAGCGGCTGGAATGCGCGGCGCGGCACAAAGCGGGGCCGACCTCGCCCGCGAGCCCGCGACTGTGCCAGCGTTATACGTTTTTGTCGCGCGGCTCCTTTCGCCCATCTTTTAAGTAATGGCCAGAGTTTTTCCGATCTAATCACGGCCACGTTACTATGCCTCGACGCGGGAAAAGACGTTTCTCTATGTATAGTCGATTAGTCGGGCACATTGTGTTCAGGGCCTGGGCCGGAGCCGGCGGTCGGCCGTCGGAACCGGTCTCGGGTTGCGTCATCACAGTTCTTGTCCCGACATTCATTCGTTATTATCAACGCTACAGGGCTACCGACACAACAAGCGCTGATTCAATATTTCCATGTAACCGACCGGCAATACTAACATATTATCTCCTGCCAAATCTACCTCGGCCGGGCTACGACAAAATGGATATTTGATAGCTTCTTTGGTTCTGTGCCACTATCCACCTTATCGAACGCTTAGTACAAGCTCCGCTAAACATACTTTATTAATACGTATGGAAGCATATCTAATAATATTTAGAATATTACAGTATGGTCTGGCAGATAAATGGGCCGCTTACTAGACACCTGGGCAAGTTGACATGTGCGTCCTGATGTCCATGTCAATAGTTGATAAATGTTAAGTAATGTTTTCTACCTAACTGTAGGATAAGAAATAACAAGCACTTATGTAGGTATGGATCTCTGGTCTGAAATAAAGAATTTTTCAACACGTCACTTCCTCATAAAGTGGCTCTTATCCAGCGGCAATCAGGCATGTAAGGACACCTATAATCAAACTGTGACTTTTTTATTTCATTGACAAGTGAGTAAAAGTGATTTTTTTTTAATTATATGGTTGGATTACGCTTACGTTTGCACTAAAATGATATCTGCGAAACACCCAAAAAAAAAAACATCGTTTTAGTCTATAGCCGATGCGCGCGCATATTTTTACAATTTTCACAACTCGTCTCGTTTTCTCTTTTGTAGGTTTTTATTATGTATTCTTTTATTCAGAAGTGTGTTAAAAACGTCGTATGATACACGTGTATATTGTTGATTACCGTTCTCGGCTCCTCAAGACCCTCGCTTCTTCTTCTAATGCGCTTCTGTAGTAATCACCAACTTTACAAACTAGTACCATGATCATCATCATCAGTCTGATATCGTCCACTGCTGGCCTCCCCAATTGTATGCCACTGAGCTCGATGTTCAGCGCTTCTCTTCCAACCGCTGCCAGCCACCCTGAGGATATCGTCAGTCCACCTAGCTGGAGGGCGCCCTACACTACGTTTGCCTAGATGTGGTCTCCATCTCCGTTGCACCATAATGTACAATAATTTAATTTAATTTTTATGTCAGCCAATTTCCTCTTTTGTATATGTTCTAGTATGACGATTGTTATCAATCCGGCCAGGGTGAGGTAAGTACTAATCTTACATTTGAGATAATATTTTCTAATCAATAAACGTCAAGTGGTCGTAACTACGACATGACAATGAGCTTTTTACCGATTGTGTACTGTTTATTAGGAACTCCTCGATAAACCGTTGTAGTGGCAAAATAATGTGTACCAAATGAAGTATCCTAAGTCTGACCGAGGCGGCCCCCGGCGGGGGCAAGCAAGGGGCGCTCTAGTTTGTAATTAAACGTCGGCTTTAATTAAGGCAGCGCGAGTGAGTTCACTGATTTATCTAGTCAGCCGGCAGTCGAGTCGGCCGCCGCCTGCTGCCTACTCATTTTGCACAATTTCCCTGTTCTTAGAACAGATAGATGAAGTTCTGAACTATTAAAAGGTCTTCGAGAAGTGTTTGTTGTCTGCCTCTCCGCTGTCTTTCGCCTGAGGAATTACATCACCTTAAGGTAAATCTATAGTCGTAGTCGCGGTACAAAGCCTCGGAACCACAAAGAGGTCGTACATTTGACATCTGTCAATGGAGTAGTCAGTGTAGCGCTGACCTGTACCTAACTATAAAGTTCGCGAAATTGTTAAACTGTTGAACGTTTGTTAAAGCGTTATAAATTCAAAAACATATAGATTCGATTCCTGATACAGTTGTGATGTATGAGAACTGAATTGAAGATCAGTGTAACTTCAGAAAAAAACGCATATAAACTTTTTTCAACACACGCCATCGTCAATGGGTGGCGGTTCTGGCGACCGATTGCTGCAATGGTATCATGGAGCACCTAGTTTCGTAACCTTGTGTTGTTTATTTTACAGCAAGTAGCTACAAACTACTAGGTAAATTTGTAATCAAAACTTAATTTTGCGTGAAATATATTTAATTATCAGGTAACACTGATAGGCCATTGCAATAAATATGTCTGTAGCTTGTGTTATTAGAGAATGAGACAGAAATCATCATTTATTAAGAATGTGTATTGGTTTAGCCAGGAATACATTACCGAGACGCGGTGTGGCCTGTCGGAAGAAAACCAGCAGCCGGTATCAGTTCCATACATCAGACAGCATGGGACACGACACACAAGTATATCTCTAACCATAGTGAATTTAAGAAGCCGAAGAGCTACTTGCGCGACACGAGACACCACACCAATATGTTCCTGGCTTACGTCTCGTGGTTTAACATCCACCTGCAACTACATATGTACCTCTGAACCTGGTGGTATAAACTTGCCCGTGTCCCAAAGGAGAAAAGTTATCTACACAAACAAGTGTTTGCCCAATAATTTTATGACCGCAGTTTAGAATGTATGCAGTCACCAGTTTGCAGTAAACGCCTGGACTTTGAGTTTGACATTGTAGTTTACCTATTTTGCGTATGGATGCGATCAAACATCAAGCCGATAAATTAACAAGTTTTCCCACTATAAATATCGTAACAATGTAAACCTTGGATTCAAGCGGCCACAAGGGTGGTTCGACGCGACGTGAAATGTTAGAGTTAGGGCCGCGCATGAAGGATTACAATCATGGCTCTACGTGCGATCTCATTACTTATCCATAGCGCGAATAGTAGCACATGATCACATTTTTGTGAGACGAAGCTTCCATCTACCTCTCATTACGCTCACTAATACTTTCTCCGCATTTAGTGCAAGTTACAGCGAGCTTGTCCCATAAAAATACTATTTGGACCTTGTTATACTACGTGTAAGTACCTTACCACGAAGTGCACGAACTTTCTTTTAAAACCATAATATTAGTTACTTAATAAAACCTGCGCCACGTAAAGCACCTAAGACACTCCGACTCACTTCGCTTAGTAAAACTGATGACGGAAAGCAAGTATTGTGTGAAACTGTTCGATATTTGCTAGACAAGCCTGCTACTTAGCTTGTCCTGATTACCAAATCAAAGAGATAGCAATCCCTTGCGTTACAAAATGAGAATGCTGGAGCCAACCTTTGGGTTTGTCCAGCGAGAGGGCGCGCGCGAAGTGCTCGTCCACGACGGCGGCCACGTCGCCCGAGTAGTGCGTGAACACGACGCAGTTGGCGCTGACGTACTGCGCGCGCGCCCGCGCCGCGCCCGCGCCGCCGCACTCGCCCTCCGACTCCGAGGACCCGCCACCTGCACACACAGCGCACCTCAATGCTGCCTCAGCGGGATCATGGCTGCATCCAATATTTGTGTATAACTGTGTACCGTACCGTCAGCGCTGGCGCGGCCGTGCGCCGAGAGGTCCTCCTCCTTGGTGCGCAGGCGCGCGGCGTGGTGCGCGAGATGCGCGTGCGGCGGGCTGCCCGGGGACTGCGCCCCCGAGGAAGCGGAGCCCGAGCTGAGCGCCGCCGCGCCGCCACTGTAAGCCTCGCTGCCAGCATTGCCCGCCCCACTCTGCACGTTGAACTGCAACCGACACTTGGTGTTACAACTAGCTCTTGTCTAGGTTAGGGTCGTAGTCGGCGCGGCCGCCCCAACACAACCGCGTAGTTACCAGTGCGTTCCTGGTCTATTGGAGAGGAGAGATTTGGAAACGACGTATATTTGTATCAGATCAGATAAAATGAGATTTAGTATTTGTATAGTATAGGCATATAGGTACAGGAGCATTTCTGTCCCGCCCATGATGAGGGTGTGAGGCCAGTGTATCGTGTGGTTAATGGACTTTGCACGGCCGCGGCTTGCCGCTACAATGTTTTACATAACTTTCCGAAGTCGAGGGCAGATCGCCATACAGGTACCAAGGCCCGGGCAGAAGCAGGATAGTAGTTGAAATAGTGACACTCCCACCTCCTCCATGATCGAACTGGACTAATTGTTTTCCTTATGTTCTTCGCACGTTTAGAAAGCCACGAATGTATGAAAATGAAAAATATTCCAACTCGTGTAACTTCCAAATATATGTTCCTGCAACTTTTGTGCCATTAAATATTTAGGTATAGTTCCAAACTATGCTAGTTCTAACAATATGAACCATTTTCTTTTATTATCTTGCACCATATACACCACTTATCTCTTTAGAAGCGGCCCAAAAATGACGATATTTTTTCACTCAGTCAAAAATAGTGAGTTGCTACCATGGAATTGGAATTGAAAGTTGCGTAAACATATTAATAACTCGAACCTCATGCAACACTGCACTAATGCACAAAAGTGTATTCTGCCTAGCGCCTGTCATTTATAATAAAATACCCAAATCCATTCAGCAGCTTCCCTTAAATAAATTTAAATTACAGAACATTATATTTACGCGGGTATTAACGCGGAAAATTATAATTTGAATACCTTGGTAGGCTTGACGTTTCGACCCGGTTGCACAGGTCGTGGTCACAAGCAGACTGAAGACGCGATGTCACAGCTCCCTGCATTCGGGTGATGAATCTTCATCTACCCCCTTATTTTCATTTTCTACCATATTAGGCCGTCTACACACTACGCTGATTATATCCACAGATGTGTTAACCGACTTTGAAGGAAAGCGAGGTTGTGTTTTGCGAAGCACTGGATTCCACGTCGACGACAATTTAAAGCCGTCCTCCCGATTGAAATTATTTGGGCATTTCTTTATTTCAACCGCTTCACGCACAAGTCTTGTATGGTAGTGGCGATCAGTGGAGAGAATTTGCGGTCGGTGGAATTCTACCCAGTGATTAGAACCAGCCTGGAGCAGGTGTTCTGCTATCGCTGATTTGTTGCTCTGTCGGTTTTTGACTGCGGCGATATGTTCTTTGAGCCTCTCAGCAATGGTCCGCTTCGTTTGCCCAATGTAGGAACTACCGCAGCTGCAGTTGATCTTATAAACACCTGGGCTTTGTAGCGGCAGTACATCCTTCGCCGTGCCTACCTTATCATGAAGTTTAGCCTCAGGTGTGTAGATCGTCGGGATCGAAAACTTTTTAAGGACGGATCCTATCTTGTCTGTCACACCCTTGATATAAGGCATGAAGGCAGGTTGTCTGCTCACGTTTGGATGTCTGGCTCTCTTCAGCGGTCGCAATAGTCGCCCATCCCCTACACTATATCCGTTCTTTTTAAGTACCTCCTGAACATGGTCTAGCTCTTGCCCCAGATGTTCAGGGTCACAGAGGTCATATGCTCTGTTTTTTAGTGATATCATCACGGATTGTAAGTGTCGGGGGTGGTGATGTGACTTTGCATGTAGGTACCGATCAGTGTGAGTTGGCTTTCGGTATACACAGTGCGATAAGGACCCATCTGATCTCGCGGTTATTTTAATGTCCAAGAATGACAACGACCTGCCCGTCTCCAGCTCATAAGTAAAACGCATTTTTGGGTGGATGCTGTTTAGGTGATTTACATATTGACGTACTTCTTGTTCACCTCCCTTGATAATGCTGAAAATGTCATCCACATACCTTTTCCAAAGCCTGATGGTATTTGGGCCGAGGCTCAATGCCTGTTTTTCAAAGTGTTCCATCCAAAGATTAGCTAACACAGGGGCCACTGGACTTCCCATGGCTACGCCATCGATTTGAAGGTAATGTTGGCCTTGAAAAAGGAAGTAATTTCCATCCAGGCAGTGTTTCAGCAAATCAATATAGTTGTGGGGCATGTCATTGTCACTAAGTACATCTTTGACAACATCCAGACACTCCTTAATTGGCACATTGGTAAATAACGACTCAACGTCAAAGCTCACCATGAGTTCATCAGGTTCCAACTTCAGGCTCTTTACAATCTGGATGAAGTCGCGCGAGTCCTTTACAAAAGAAGATGTTTTTCCTACCAATGGTTGTAGTACTGACGCAACGTGCTTTGCAAGATCATAAGTCGGTGAGGCAATTTGGCTTACAATAGGCCGCAATGGCACGTTGGACTTATGTATTTTAGGTAGGCCATACAGTCGAGGCGGTTGATGTGCCTTAGGTTTATATAGCTTTTCGTACTCATCTTCTGTAAATAGGTCCTTATGTTCTTGAATTAGAGCTCGTATTTTCCGTGTTACTCGGGCCGTAGGGTTATATGAGACCGGCTTGTAAACTTTGTCATCACTCAGTAACTCCCGTATTTTATTGTGGTAATCAGACGTATTAATCACTACAGTGGCGTTTCCCTTGTCGGCCTTAAGCACTAAAATATCCGGATTATCCCTTATAGTTCTTAGTGCCTGACGCTCTTCTGTAGTGACGTTGCTAGCCGGAGGCTTCGACTTCCGCAATATCACCGCAATGTCCTGTCTCAGGGTTTCGGCGTCAAGTCACGTCACGTCAAGCCTACCAAGGTATTCAAATTATAATTTTCCGCGTTAATACCCGCGTAAATATAATGTTCTTAAGATGAAACGCGAAAGTTTAAAAGTTAGTAATTTAAATTACAATTAAAGAAATTTCTTATTAGCAAATGTTTTTATAATCTGAAGGAATACTTAATTGATGCCTAACACTATGACGTTTCGGTTCAAATAGAACAAAATTTTGTACGCCTATCCTAGGCAAAACATGTAAGGGTCTGATTATTATTATTTTTTACACCTTATGTTGCAATTATTTGCTTTGTACACATACACTTTTATATATCTTTTGAAAATTGAATTTTATAAACAAAAGTTGTTGGCTCCGAGCATACCTATGTAGTGATTCACCAAAAGTCAATCGTTGGTCACATAGTTATACTGAGGGAGCGGAGTATAGCCTAGGAGGGAAGCTGGCAGCAGCGGCGGCGGCAAGTTTTTGTCCGCGTGATATATGGTCCCGGGGCCGGTCGGACCGGCCGGCGGGCGCGCTGCTAGCCGCGCAAAAACTCGCCGCTCTATGCGTCGCTGCTGCTTCACATGCGTGTGACGATTTTTACTTTCAACATGATCGCTCTTCGCATCTCACTAGTCACCATAAAAACAATGAAAAGCAAAGCTGACAAACCAGCCGGCCCGGCTGCGCGGGAGTGCACTGCGCGTGCGCCGCTAGTTGCGACCGCGCCGTGCAATACACTCAATATACTCTCCGCCTGTGACTACATACATTAGTATTTCAACTGATATGCATAGTGCCGATGACCTCATTATATACTTTACGAATTGAAAGAGTTACTTGCTAATAGGATGATTGCTGCCAGACCAAAGTCACAGCCACAGCATTGATATACGTGTTCATTGTATATTGAATTCAGTAAAACCTCGGTTTTCTATGGTTTCCGTAATCGAAGGTGAATTTATGAAAATCATTCTTACATTTAGCAGGTATATTGTAAGCTTTTATGATGATGATGTATTGCTAAATGTAAGAATGGTTTCATACGCGGCACCACAAAAACTAAAAAATTGTTCCCACATGAATATTTATCAAGCAGTGCATCTACTTAGCGCCTGTCGAACATCCAGCAATACCCTCAGCACAGCTTGACTACATTATATCCAACTTCAAACGTTTCTACTGTAGTAGCGTCACCACAGTATGCCTAAAGGCTGTATTTAAATTCGCGCTTGTCATTGGTCCAGCGGAAAACGTGTTCAACAGAGTTGATATCTGCGTACTGACGGATATTTTTAAGCACGTCAATTACTTTTGCCTCGTCATCGATTGTATTGTAAAGTTTCTTTTTAGTATTGTAGAGTATTAATTTGTGCACAAACACGTAACAACGTGGACACAGTGGAGCACTGTATCGCTCCTCAATTGTTACGTCTAACCTGCTCATGCGACATGCCATGGTAAGACCTGCTTGTAGAGTGGCTACTGGCTAGAGACAACTGCACCGGACGAGGACGTTCCGGGAGTAAATCTGGGCTTACAGTCTCTGGGTATAAGTATGAAACCGCCAATCTGCCCTGAGCAAGCGAGGTAGGCTGGAAATACCACAGCTTCTCTGAGCCTCAACCACAATTGTTTACATGTCACATTCATTGTGAACCTACACTTTGGAACGCAACACACTGACACTTAACTTTCAATATTTTGACACTTAACTTTAAACATTTGCCTCATAATGATTTATAATAGAAATAAATGTTAGCTTTAGCCTTAATACAGCGAAGCCCTCATTGATCACCGGGGCGCATGTATAGAGCTCAGTGCTACATAGTTAAAGAGTAATGCAACCTCTATACAAAGCAAAGTAGCAGTAGAAGGATGCTAAATGTGTAGTTACTCGAGCGTCATACACACTCGGCTTTTAAAGATTTGCTAATAGAACATTTCCTTCGTCCGGTGGGGGCAGGGGGAGTCCCTTGTTGTAGAGGGTGGATACTGACCCGGTCGTACTGGAAGTGCGGCGCGTGGTGGAAGGAGCGCGCGGCCCCGCGCCCGTACAGGTAGGGGTAGTAGGCGCCGTACATCACCTCGGGGCAGCTCACCGCCATGCCGCCCGCCGGCCGCGCGCGCGCGCCATGCCGCCGCGCCGCCGCCCGCTGCTGCCTGCCAAAGTACGGTACATCACTACAAACACAAACTTATGACGATGCCAATGGATAATACATTTGTCCACTTCTAACAATGTCCATTTGACAAAGTAGGTACCTACTTAACTCTCAAACATTCATGAAATCTGCCTCGCATTATCAGCTCAATGTATTAGATTCTAATATTCTTTATAATCAAAATATATCAATCCTTGTGTGATTATAATTATAAAAGGATTTTCTTTATTCTTGAGAAGTTGTACCTTCGACAATCAGCTTAACGATGTTAACGTTTTATTATCACTCCAACTGCTGGCCTCGCCACGCTTAGAAAGACAACTGTTTTGTTGACAGTCATACTTTATCAAGAGTTTATATGGAACTAGCTGTGCGGTTGTCGAATACAAAACAACGTCGTTTAGATAGGAGTAGGCTAGTTAGTCCA